TAGGGCCTTAATGGTTAGAATCGGGTTTCGGGGCTTGTTATACTGACCATAAGGGAATACTATTAGCAATTATTCCGACCCCTATATTACCCTGCTCCTAGCCGACCCTGCCCAGAACTGCGATGGCCGGATCCAAAAGCCAAAACACCCAAGGTCCTGAGACCCGAATAAGGGTTTCGGGTTTAGGATTGCTTGTTTAGGGTTTAGGGTTTAGGGTTTAAAAGAGAAGTATAGTGCAGGGGTTCGCGCGGATGTAGGATCGGCTTCTGGGTTGCCGTTTTCAGGGCACCGGAAGCCTGTTGGAAGTCACAAACAGAACATGTTGATGCCCCTGGGCTTGATATGACAAATGTTGCACAGGATTCCTCAAAACACTGCTAGAGCGAGAAGCAGTAACAACCCTGTTAAGGCCCATAAACCCCCTGAAGCACGCCAGAAATCGACTCAGAACCATAAGGCCCCGAAGGTCCTCGAAAGCTTCCAAACGGACTCGGTTATGGGCCTGCGAGGTGTGTTTTCATTGTTGCGAGGGAGGCTTTAAGGTTTAGGGCTCAGGGTTTAAGGTTCAGGGTCGGCATGCTAGCCTCCTCGTCCATTTCCACCCCCACAATGCGAGCCTGGAGGCAGAAATTGGAGGGTCTCCTGCGCCCTCAACCCCGAACCCTACACCCTGAAAGCCAGAAGCCAGAATACCAATGCTCAAGAACTCAGAGGTCGTACACTAGAGCAGTCCTCCCCACACCAACCTCTACTGGACAAACTTGCAGTTCAGGGCCTGGGTTAGGGGAGAGGTGCTAGGGCTTAGCGTTGAGGCGAGTCTCTTTTGTTTTCCATTTTTTGCGAAAAACTGCCATGCAGCAGTCGTGACGTGAGCTATGACGGCAGCAGGAGCAGCAACGAACTCCAGCCAGAATCCCAAAACCAGACGGCTGTTGGGTAGAGAGAGTACTTTGGGATGTAGATTCTTCCCCGCCATATTGGGTGTCCTCCTTTTAGGAACAGTGTTTGTGCAGGTTCTGCCATGGGGTCGGGCTCAGAACTCGAAACCCTAGGCCCGAAACCGGTCTTCCCCATCCTCAAGCCTAAAGCCCTAAGTTCTAAACACCTAAGCCACCCTAAACCCTAAACCCTAAACCCTAAACCCTAAACCCTATAACCCTATAACCCTATAACCCTAAAAACCTAGAGCCCCCTAAACCCTGCTGCCTCCGGGCATATTGCTCTCAGCTCCCTGGCCACCGTCCCACCACCGAGGCCCAGGATCAGAACAGAGTGCCTTGGGAAACAAACGATGTAGGGTTATAGGGTTTAGGGCTTGGAGTTTACGGGCCTTCAAGGCGTGGGGCTGAGGTTTCAAGCTTTGGGGGGGTTGAGGTCTAAGGTTTGAGTTTGTGGTTTTAGACCCCCGGTCAGAATATCCGGTTCTGGGGTTCGTTGGGGCACTGGTAACCTTCTTGATAGGTCCTGGTCTTTGCTAGGGGGAGCGCGCGAGATATAATCTACGAACGGGCTTCGCTTGCACAACTTAAAAGATCAAAAAAGGGGCATTTGGAGCTACAAACAAACACAAAACAAACTCACACACTGCAACAGTCGAAGCCTTGAGCACAAGCACTAGGAGACCTAGCCCACCTATAGTCTCAAACCCCTTTTGAGTTTTCTAGGTTGGGTTGAAGTCAACCAGTCAGCCGGTGCGCGTTCGTTGTGGCTGTGGCGTTAAAGGTCCGACGATCAACACCAGTTGCTTATCTCAGGCACGGCTGCCGGGGCAGCAGGAGCACGGGTGCAGCCAGCGCATCCTTGATGTGAGGCAAACATGTCGAGGCCTGGCCTACTGAAAAGCAGAGGACCTCCTGGCCTTAATGGCCTTGGATTCTGCTTAACTTCGGGGGGGAGGGGGGGGGTGGCGGGTGCAAGGTCTCTCGTTCGTGAATCCTATTTCCTCTACCGAATATACTTCCTTATACCCCCTACCAAGAACACAGTCAGAAACAAAAAAGTCTCTGACCCTGGCACCGCCACGACCCTAACGAGTGGAGCCCCAGATCTCCTTAAACTCTATAACCCCATAACCCTCATAACTCTAACCCCTACTTGGGCCTTGGTTTTTTTGGGTTGTTTCCAGCACCGTGTTCTCAGCCGGAGCTCCCAAACGCCAGCGCTTGCCGCATGGCCCGGCCTGGCACTTCAGGAGTGAATATCTATATGTATGTATATATATATATACATACACGTATATACAGAGACAATCTATATATCTATATGTATACATATATATATATATATAAATGTAAATATAAATAAATAAATAAACAAATAAATATAAATAATATATATATATATATGTAGATATACACATATATAAATAATACACATACATATTCACAGAAGATATGCACATATCTATACATAAACCATGCACATGTGTGTGTGTGTGTGTGTGTGTGTCTCTGTGTGTGTGTGTGTGTGTGTCTCTGTGTGTGTCCCTGTGTGTCTCTGTGTGTGTGTGTGTGTGTGGTGTGTGTGTTTGTGTGTGTGTGTGTGTGTGTGTGTGTGTGTGTGTGTGTGTGTGTGTCCCTGTGTGTCTGTGTGTGTGTGTGTGTGTGTGTGTGTGTGGTGTGTGGTGTGTGTGTGTGTGTGTGTGTGGGTGTGTGTGTGGTGTGTCTGTGTGTGTGTGGGTGTGTGTGGGTGTGTGTGTGTGTGTGTGTGTGTGTGTGTGTGTGTGTGTGTGTGTGTGTGTGTTTGTGTGGTGTCTGTCTCTGTCTCTGTGTGTGTGTGTGTGCGAAGAGAAGAGTAGGGAGCGAGGGCATTGAGTTCAGGGGTATTTTGACTAAGGAGGCATTGGCAAACATAGGGCTTCCGATACCCATTTCCCTCAACATGCAGCGTGCCTGTAGACCGAGGCAAGGGTCCTGTTTAGGGTTTAGGGTTTAGGGTTTAGGGTTTAGGGTTTAGGGTAGCTTCAGAGCTCCGAGTTTGGTTCTGACCCAGTCACCTAGAAGATCAGTGTGCATCGGTTGCCCTCATGCTGTTTTTCAAAGCTTCGCGGGTGGGGCTTCTGGATAACTCCTGGACTATGTAAGCCTTGAACCCTGCTGATGACTGTCCTTTTACTGTGTGCATCTTGCTTCGAAGTCGCGGGCCCTTTCGAGATTGAGTTTAGGCTTAAGCCTCAAGGTTTGTGGGTGTCCGATCCACGCCACCTAAATCTTTCGCTGAGAAGATGAGGTTACCCAAAGAGGTACTTATTGCACGAGCTCATCCCCATAATGAAGCAGCGTGATGGCTGCTCAGGGCCTTCAAGCCCTTCTTGAAATTTCACGTGTGTAGTTTAGCAGGGTCGCAGGGTGTAGGGTTGAGGGTACCTTAAACGCCAGTTGCCCTGTAGCATACTTAAAACCCAAGCGTTATCTCCTCCAAGTACCCTAAACTTAATGGCGTGCCCAATAAACATAAGTCATGGACATCAATCCTGGGGGCGGGGGGGAGGGTTCTAAAACAAGGCTTTGTTGCAATGTGTAGTTAGGTGCTTTGTATGGTAACCCCCTTTTAGACGGACACTGAAAATGGGATCCCAATTCACAACACCCCCGAAGTTCCTTCAACGTGCCTTCCCTCATTTAATCCGCAAAGCTCCGCCCCTGCCAACAAAACCAACATGAATGAAACGGGGGCTTGCGGGGTTTTCAAACGGCAAGCTGACATCACAGACTCTTGTGTTAGACCTGCTCTTCATAATCTCCAAACCGAAGAACCTAGAGGGTTCTGTTCAGTCGGCGGGCTCATCCACGAAAAGCTCCAGTGCATCTCCGGACGGCTGTACACGAATGCGGCCAGAGACCTCCGGTACTTACATGGCAGGCGTTAGTTTAGGGTTTAGGGAGGTGCGGAGGGGGCTGGAGGGTGGGGGTTTGGGGTTTGGGGTTTCGGTGGTAGGCTGATCTTTGGGATTCAGCAGGCTGGGTTTGAAAGGAAAAGCAGTAGTCAGTAAGGGGTTTAGGGTTTAGGGTTTAGGGTTTAGGGTCTACTTCCAAACCCTCAACGCCTCGCCCTCCTCGCTGCGGCAAAGGGCCAGGCTGCGAGGCGGTGGTCGAGGGAAGGCCCATGACAACGAAGGGACAAGCATCCCTCCCTAAACCCTAAACCCTAAACCCTAAACCCTAAACCCTAAACCCTAAACCCTAAACCCTAAACCCTAAACCCTAAACCCTAAACCCTAAACACGGCTTACCTACAGTAACTCCCTGTACCTTACGCGATGGGTAAATTAACCCAAGGATGAAAAGCAACTTCCCTGCTCCTCGGCACCTGTAAAGGGTTCAGGGGTCTAGGGGCCCCTAAACCCGAAACCCTGAACTCCTAAACCCTCAACTCTAAATCATAAAACCTAAACCCTACCACTTAGGGGGGGTCAGGAGGGCTAAACGTTGCTGGTTCGTGGGTAGATGCTTTCCATTCGGCTCAGAGCCTAGCTGGCCTAGGTTTCAGGGATCTTAGCCCTCAGAATAATTGCAGACGTACAAGCTTATCCTAATGGGCAAATAGAAGCATCAATCAATGGGTTTGGCAGGGACAGTGCCTGTCTTGGGTGGTGGTGGACGAAGGCTTCAGCTCAGAAAAAGGGCCGGGGGCTCGCTTGTGGGTCTGCATGTCGCGAAGCGCTATGTTTGATTAGCTTCGCCAGTACGCCTTAGCCAGCATTGCCCCGATGCCTATAAATCCTTGAGCCTACTCTATGCCGCAAACCTTTAAACTTGGAACTCGTCCAATCTAGGTCACTAGGTGTTCCAAGCAGGCTTGAAGACCACTGCAGCCCCCAAAGCATCTAAAGCCCCAAAACGGCTGCTGCACTTCCTGCTGACTGAGTTCAGTGAGAAAAATACCGTACCCAACAAGCCTAAAAACCGTGACTTACTCAGCACTTGCGATGCAAATCTAGAGGATCTTGGCCTTGGGGCCTTTAGATCATATAGGATTTGCATGGACCGTATGTAGGGCTTCTAGGGCTCGTCGTATGAAGGTGTTAGGGCCGAAGCCCCAGGCCGAAGCTTTTCCTTGCCGTCCACACGCAACTCGTAGAAGGTGTGCGGCACAGGATGTTGAAGGGTACCGGGAATTTCCACCTTGGACTTGGCAAACGGGTGTGAAGGACATTCTGTGAAACGAGGCCTACACCCTAAACCCCCCTAACCCTAAACGCAGAACCCTAAATCAAGTTTCTTGAAGCCCCGACTATTCGGCGTCCTGTGGTCCCCGTGCTTGCCCTCATTTGTAACATCATGAGGGGGACCCAAACTCCAGCATGTGGGACAATGACACACCAGAATGCGCATAATCGCAATACAAGTGCTTCAAGGATCAAAAGCCAAGAACAAGTCCCGCGCACATGAGCACACACAAACAAACGCGAAACAACCCCCCCAAGGTCAAGTGCAAACTATACTGCTGCTCTGCTATTCTTGGGCATTTTGTTAATCCTAACTCCAAAAACGGATCATATTAAGTTTTTGCCCCACTCTTTTTTCAGATTTAAGACGGCTTATTTGGAAACCGGAGGACTTACTTAAAGGTTCATGGGTAGCTATAGGGAGGGTTATAAGTAAGCTAAATAAGGCTAGCTAACCCCAGTTATACCTACCCATGAACTTCCAACCCCTAAACCCTAAACCCTAAACCCTAAACCCTAAACCAAGAGCCCAGGGCAGCCAAGGGGACCAAGTAGGGTTTCGGGTGTACGGCTGGGGCTCCAGCTGCGCGCTGCAAGTGGAGCCCCGCCGCGCGGAAGAGCGCGCGCCAGGTGTCGTCCGGGCGGATGTTGCGAAGATATCTTGGGTTTAGGGTTTAGGGTTTAGGGTTTTGGGCTTCGGGTTTAGGGTTTAGGGTTTAGGGTTTGTGCATGGCTGGCATGAAGCCTGAAAACATCAAGGGTTAAAGCCCAACTCCGAAACCATGAAACATCCCCAGCTTTCGACTTAGCCACGGCTACCTCAGCTGAGGAGCCCCAACAACCCTAATATAGGGGCCTTAATGATTAGGATACGGTTTTGGGGGGGTTACTATAGCAGATTTTTACAGGGATCATAGGGGAAGATCATTAGGAACATTATTCCGACCCCCAACCCTAAAGCCCTGATTGAAACGGCCCCTCAACGCTGAGGGGTTGGGTCTAAGCTTCGGTTGGAACTCTTGGACCAGCTGTAGCCCTCATTTGTTCAGTTCTTTTTTAACACTGAAACTCTTTCTGCACGCCAGAGAGTTGCAGCCCTACCGTAAGCCCTCACCCCGGCAACCCTAACCCTTGAGTGGGGTTTCCATAATGGTCTGGAGCTTCGTGCTGTACCCTGAGACCTAAAAGGGCATCGGTTTGAACGCTTTGGTGTCAACGGCTCAGGGTTCACAGCATAAGAAAGGCGAGTTGCTTCGCAGGGTCTTGGCCAAAGGGCCGGAAATGTTCAGCGGTGACCTTGCTTCAACTGGGTGCGGGGGAAGGGGGCGCAACTACAGGGGTTTAGTAAGGGCTGGTGATTCCTCAGGGTGGATTCAAGATGTTACGGAGTTAGGGTTCTTAGAGGCTCTATGAGGCTCAACACGTCGAACTTCGCCCGCTTTCCCGCCCTAAACCCTAAACCCCTAAACCCTAAAACCTGAACCTGGATACTCGAGATCAGCATTGACAGGTCTAAGCTTCACAGGCCCCCTTAAACCGCAAACCCCCAACATCGTGCCCCACATGCTGAAGTTCTGTAGGTGGGAGTTGTTAAGCTATAAATATTCAAGTATTTCAGCCGGAATCCTAAAGTTGTTTCAAGGAGAGAAATGCTTCAATGGCTGCAAAACATATCAGAGGTTTTGGTTTTTTCCCGTGTGTTTCTTCTCTGCAGCTCTTAGAGCCTTTTGCGCTGAGAAACGTAAAATGCAAGTCAGAACTGAACAGATTGCATGTTAAATGATTCAGGAGTTCTGGGGTGCTTGGGTGTTTGTGGAATAATGGTGTGTCGGTGTGTGAGTGTGTGTGTGTGTATGTTTGAAGGTGCGTGCGTGCGTGCGTGTGTGCGTGCGTGTGCGCGCGTGCGTGCGTGCGTGTGGGGGCGGGCGCGCGCGAGCACGCGCGCGTTTGCGCATTTGCGCGTTGGGCGCGTGGGCGTGTGCGCGTGTGTGCGTGTGTACGTGTGCGTGTGTGGGCGTGTGGGTGGGTGGGTGGGTTGGTGGGTGGGTTGGGTGGGTGGGGGGGTGGGTGGGGTGTGGTGTGTGTGTGTGTGTGTGTGTGTGTGTGTGTGTGGTGTTGCTGGGGGGGGTGGGGGGGGGGGGGGTGGGCAAGCCAGCTGAATGTTTTAGGGTGGGGACCTTGATCTCTACAGTGAATCTTTACAGCCCTATAGACCTTTCAAAGCCCGAGCTGTGGAAACGTTTTGCGAACCTCGGCTAAGTAGGAGCCCTGCTAAGCGCGAAATGCACGAAAACGCGAACATGCGTGAGAAAAGACAAAAAGAGACAACAAAAACTGAGAAAAAAGAGAGAAGGACCCGAAACATGGGGTGCGTTCATGGGATGTGCTTCATTAGGGCTTTCGGGCTTCAGGGTTTTGAGGGGTGGCGTTTGGAGGATATGGGGGTCAAGCCAAACGCTGGATGCGAAGCGAGGGTTTACAGGCTAACCTGGCTTACCATGAGCATGACCGTGTCCACTTTGTGCACATGACAGTGTTAGTAATACTAATACTGTATAAGCTGGAACATCCTCAACCTGTAGCCCAAGAAACCTAACCCATGATGCCCAAAAACACCCATAAGCCCTAGCCCTCAGACTCTCAGAGCCCTAAACTCTCTAAGACCCCTAAACCCTAAACCCTAAACCCTAAACCCCAAACCCTAAACCGAAACTAGTTCATGGTTGGGTGTGTTTAAGTACCCTCCAAGATGTAAAATGTTACCCCACTTTGGCAAAGCAAACCCTAAACCCTAAACCCTAAACCCTAAACCCTAAACCCTAAACCCTAAACCCTAAACCCTAAACCCTAAACCCTAAACCCTAAGCCGAGGCCGGGGTGCGGCCACTGCCAGCTTCGCAAGTCCTGCGGACTCCGCGTGTCGAGGCTGGTCCTCGAGGACGAAAACCTCAGAGCCAAGGGTTGAGTGTGGGGGTTTAGGATTTAGGGCTAGGGTTTAGGGTTTCGTGTTTTGGGGTTCGGCTTTGTGGTGCAGGATTAGAGTCTGTGGGGTTCATGTGTTTAGGATTGGGGGTGGTGGGTGGGGAGGATAGGTGTAAGGTGTTTAAGTTTGGGATCAAGGTAGGTCGCAGCTGGGTTTAAGCACTGAGGGTGTGGTCTGGTGGTATGGATGCAGTCAGATCGAAAGCCAGCAGCGGCAAAGGCGCTTACTGTTACATGTCCGTTCAGGGTCAGGGTGATGGTTCGGCAACTCATTCGCACCAGGTCGCCAGACTGCTTGGGCATCAAACCGACTCGACTGAATGCATTCTTCAAGCAAAGCGCTCGGCGACTCACCCTGGCAGCTTCTGCGAGTGTCCGCTGCAGGTCCCTTTCCTTCAGGGCGCATACTTGGAGGTTCATGGCTAGCGGCTAGTTCGAGGTGGGGTAAACAGTAAGGCAACTATAACTACGACTGGTTGTAACCCTTTTTAGGGTACGATAAGGCTACGTAGAACTACCCATGAACCTTCGAGTAGGAGAATTGTCCGAGTTAGCGGAATACTGAATGACAGGACTGCCATGCCTGAGCCCCAGCAGCATCCCTAAGAGCTCCCCAAGATGCAAGACATGGCTCCGGAGATGCTTAATGTTGGGCTCAAAAGTCTGTGAGATTCTGTGGAAATCCAATCACTCTCTCTCTCTCTCTCGCTCTAAACTGTCGGTCCCTCTTTGTTTGTTGATTGGCTTGTAATTCTTCTCATATTATTCACACAAAAACATCCTTAGGTTATCTCATCCGACAAGAGAGAAACAACCCGGAAGCTCCAAGCCCAGCGCAACCTGCTCCTACCAGAAGCCCTCAGTTTTAGGGTTTAGGGTTTACTTAGGGTTCAGGGATTAGTAACCAAGTTTCTGACCTCTAAACTCCCAAAGTGGAGCAGTGCGCCCTAAGCCCTAAAGCAAGCAGCCTCGCCAATGTGGTGCAGCACGAAAAGCAGAAGGCAAACGTCAAAGGAACCTTGGAGAGCACAGGGTTTAGGGTTTAGGGTTTGAGGATATTTGCTTTCATGACTCACCTCCTCCTGGGGTTTGGGTTTTGGGCGACTCTCGAAATTTGAGAGCTGGAGCGCTAAAGAGACTATGAGGGAGGATATGAGGCTTGCCGGGCTTGCTCAAAAGTAGACCCCGTTTCTTGGGCGCGCCGCCAATCAGAAATGAAAACAAAGTGGACGTTGCCCAAAATTTCGATGAACCTATCGAGTTCTTGGAAAAGAGACTTGGAGTTCGCAGCCTTCTTTTGTGCGGGGGGAAAAAACCTCCGATCCCCGCACAAAATACTTCGCAATCAGCCTGAAAGCCAAGCATCGCAGTTCCTCTACCTACGTCGGCCCAACAAACCATAAAAACAATTTATTCTCGCTAGTCCCATCGGTTGTACATGAAATCGCTGCAGAAAAACTTCCTTGGATCATCCCCACCCTACAGCTACCTGATTGGGGTAGCCATCCAGCCGTTCTCGGACGGGTAGTTACTGATACTTCGCTCTCCCTTGAAACAATTCTCCGAGGTTGGGGCCTCCAGGGACACTCGGCGGGACCCTTGCGGAAGTCTCTACTCCAAGGATACTCTCAGCCGTCTCCCTGAAAACGCTACAGGGATCTCTGCTGGCTTGGGGTAAGGGGCTCTTTGCGGGGCACTTCAGGGATAGTCTCTGTGAGCATCTCTGGGCACACTCGGCAGGATTCTCTGCGGGCTTCTCTGAAAGTGGGTGGGCACTCCAAGGGTTCGCGGGGGGATTCTCTGCAGGGTTTAGGGTTTAGGGTTTAGGGGTTAGGGTTGAGGGTTAGGGGTTTAGGGGTTTAGGGGTTAGGGTTTAGGGTTCCCAACCCCGGAGACCAGGCGGAGGAGGCGGGGGGGCGAGGAGCAGGGTTGACTTATGACCCAAGAGCCTCACACCGAGGCTGGGGAATAACTTCTGTGGAGGCTAGAAAAAAAACCAAGAGGGAAACGCAGGGCTTTGGGTTCAAAAGGTAGAGGGAACCGGAAACCTCACAAACTAGATCCTGAACTCCCATATACCGCATGGCGGCCTGAAGTACACGTCCGAGGTGCCATCTGCATATGGCCAGGCAGAACTGCCATCATGGAGAGCTACGCGCTCCTGCACAAGGCCCAGTAAAGTAGGATGAGAAATACCGTAAACCCGCTATTTCGACAACTGGGATCCTTATGCTTTATTGACACTCAGAAAACTTGTTCCATCGGACTGGAAACTCTGAACCGGCATGAAAAACAGTAAGGTAAAGCTGCCTTCCCAGCACTGCAACCTCGAATCCTTGCAGCTGCCTTTTAAAACAGGGTTGAGGGATCTTCGAAGTGGTATACATCTTGTTCAACGCGGTTTCAAAGGGCCCTGAGCCCGTGCAAAAAGGGAAGCAGGGTTTAGGGTTTAGGGTTTAGGGGCTGGTGGGCTTTTCTCTGAAGACCGCAGTCCTGAAGCTCACCAGAATCTCCCTTTAAGGGGATTCTATTCTATTTAGTATATGAAGGGGTACCCCTATTTTTGGAAATACCCAAATACCAGTTGGATTACGCAAACAAAGTTGCCTCTTTCAGGCCGAACACAGCTACACAAAAACCCGAAACGTCCCCCGCAAGTCCCGAGGTTCCGAAATCCTGGGCTCGGCTGTCAATCAGCTCGCTGTTGCCTAGTAACTACCAAAATCACCAGAAAGACTTGCACTACTTGACGAATCATGGGTACTTCTACGCATACCCCGGCTTGCAAACACCCCATCAACCGCACGCAACACGCAAACCTACCGCCCGACACGTCAGCATGTGCAGCATGATGCCTGGCCCAGCCGGGCCACAGCGGCTTTTGCACAGTCGGCATCCACCTCTTCGGGGAGTCTAAGCCCTATGACCACTATGACACTAAACCTCTGAACCCCCGATAAACCCAAAAAAACCGACACCAACAATTGGGAGCTTCCCTCACGAACAATTCCTTCCGTGACTGCAACTAGCAATGGAATCGCCAGTCTGCTCGTTGTTCCTCATCCCCCCACGGGGCCTTCTTTCTTTGAACCCCTACACAATTTGGGGAACGCATTTGGTCCTAGGCCCCGGAATTTCACGGGAGGACTAAATGATTGTCTGCCGCGGCACAAGAAGACGCCCTAAATGCTGACCCGGTTTGAAGCTCTGGAAACTCAAAACCCTAACCCTAACTCCTTGCGGGCCCCGAACCCCAAACCCTAATCCCCTAAACCCTAAACCCTAATCCCTAAACCCTAAATCCCAATCCGCTCTTCACATCTTCTGAAACCCCTGAGCCCGACCTCCAAGAGGTGAACGTCGCAGCCCATGTCGGTCCTGGGAGCTGATAGCTTAGGGCTAAGCTTTTAGAACCACAAACCTACTTTTCTGTAGGTTCCCTAAGAAACCTATAAGGGGTTATATATGATAACAGCCTAGAAAATAGCTTCTTTCAGATTCAGGTAGGTTTTTTTTGCTCGGGGTATGCAACCACAAAGCCTCTCAGCCTCCGATCCCCAACCGCCTACTACAGAATTGAAGGCCAAGGGCTTAAGCAACGAAAAAAGGCTTCATTCCCAACGGCACATGCTGTTTGTTTCGATCCAGTATCTAATGAGGGGACTTGATCAACAGTTCAACGGGCAAGACCGGAAAAGATGGAACGCATCCAGGCATGACCGAAGTATGCCAAGCCAGGCTGTTGGCTGTCGGGTCTTTGAAGGGACGGATTTTGCGAACTGTTCTGCTGAAGATCGGAATGCAACTCGCGTAGGCGTAGTAGCCAGGCAACCGTGGAGTATGGGTCGCTCCTTGAACACATGCCGCGACTTTTCGGCCCGCGCGTGGTGGGTGATATTTCTACGCCACTTCAGACACTGGTGTGAACCAGTACCTTGCAGGGTGGGCCACAAAGTTGTGGAATTGTTGACCTCAATGCGGCCTTTGTACCAGGGCCCATGGCCCATGAGCGGATTTCCTGGTATCGGGTGTAACACAGGCTGCGGAGAACCGGCACTTCCGAGTAGAACGCCCAAAGCTTCGAATTCTCACTTGAAGCTAATCCCCCCAGTCCTTATCCGGTTTCGGAGCCCTGCCCCCAAGCCGTTGGATACGCCCCCAACCGCCCTTGAAGCCCACTGATTCAGGGGATATCACCCACGCGCCCTGGAAAACCATAAGCTCCTGCTGCCCTGAACTCTGAAATGAAAACCCTAAAGCCCTAAACCCTGAAAACCTCGCCCATCCAGGCCCCCCCGCCACCATTCCGCCATGTGCCCATCCCCGCCACCCACCTTGGCCGGAGAATCGGGGGAGACCCTGCAGTTGGCCAGTGAGTTGAGGGGTGAGCAGGGTTGAGGACTCATTGAGGACCAGGCTCGGGCATCATGAGCTCTAAGCCCCAAGTGAAACCCCCCAAGTCCTCAATCTTTGCAATGCGTTCACGGCTAGGCGGCTTCCAGACTTCGGAGTGTTGCGGTGTTTGAGCGGGGGAGGGGGGCAGATAGGCTTAAGGCTTTTGCGTGCTGGCTTGGGGTCTGTGAATGAGTTGTATGGGACTGGCAACCTAACTGAAGTCTTCATGCAAACCAACCTTCTTCTTAGGTCCTACATTTCTGGAGCTGCAGGGGTCTGGCGCCCTCAGCCTTGAACCACACTGCCTTAGTTCAGAATGAGGACCCCCCCCCCCCACTAGATTAAGACATCGTAATCCTCAATTCAGGGGGTTTAGGGTTCAGGTTTTAGGGGTATTGGGCTCTACTTGATGAAGCCCCAGCAACAACTGAGCTGAGCTGCATCCAGCAGGCGCAGAGGGCGCTGTTCTTGCGCGACTGTGCCTAGCCGGCCGGTAGGCTCGAAGAGATGAGCAGCCGAAAGGCTTGAAGTTTAAACCCTTTGAGTAAAACAAGCCTTTTTCCCTAAACATCCAAACAATAGTGGTTCTGGCACCTACCACACCCCCCCTCCCCTCAACCGCGAACAGCGCAGTTTGCCCCAAAACAGCATCATCGGCTTCCTACTTCGCTGAACCCTTCATCTTTGATATCTGATATTTCCGCGATGTCAAGATCTCAGATCCTATGTCTCCACAACGGCACTGGACGACACTGCGCATGTAGTAGTGAGTCTTAGCATCGAGCATGCAGTACATGAAGACCCAAACCATGAGACCAGGGCCTCAGTCGCTCAGTAGAGCCCACGAATCACCATTCTGACCCCTGATTTTTGAGGCCCTAAACCCAGAACCCTAAAAACCTGCCAGAGCAATGCCCTAGATCGCTTGCACAAATGAAGGGCTGGAGAACGATGACCCCCAAACCCTAAACACTAAACCCCGAACTCTGAACCCCAAACCCTAAACCCTAGACCCCATACCCTAAACCCTAAACCTTAAACCCCAAACCCTGAAGTACACCTGACAAGGCATTTCGCAGGATGTCGGCATACCGCCCGTGGGAGCGCTCCTCCGTCACCTCCACAGCAGCTTCGAGCTTAGTAGGGTCTTGGCTTTAGGGTTTAGGGTTTAGGGCTGGAGTGTTTGTACGGTTTCGGGGTTGAGGGTTGATAGGGCTTGAGAGATCCTATGGTTTGTAGGGGTTGATTAAAGCTGCTAGGGTTTCTGGTTTGTGGCTTAGGGTGTTGGGGGAGTAAGAGCATGGCTTTATGCTGTGATGCGCCAGAAGGTGCTTCTTCTGGTTTGGGCTTGAAGATTCGCGGGGTTTGCAGCTCAGACGAAGACGAAAAACCGGACCGGAGACCTTGTATTTTCGAGGTCTGATAGCTTCCTTGTGCAGAGTGTTGGGGTTTAGGATTGGGCGCTTGATGTTGCGCCCTCTTTTGAGCAGGGTCCCCTGTGAATACTGGCTTGCCGTCTTTAATCAATCCAGGGACTGTTCTGGGGGTAAGGGGAAACTTCTGGTATGAAGGCAAGCTCTCCGTGCGTGGTATGAGGCAACGGTCGTGTGGACCAGCTTCAACGGTGCTGGGGCCCTCCCCCACGAGGAGGCATGGGTGGTGCCATGCAAAGTCCGGAAGGGCACGTCAAAGCCCCGATTGCCAGGCGCGCGGAGAACCCTCGCCTGGAGTAAATCCATGCTGACTCAGGCTTATATAAACAACTTATATCCCCATCCCCCATGCCCCCCCCCTCCCCCCTCCCGCAAGCAAGTAATCTGGGCGCGACTCTGAAGCCCTGCATCCTGCATCCAAGCTCTCCACCCTAGACCCTAATCCCCCCCTGCCCCCCAACTTCAAACAAACTATCAGCCACGGCCTCTCGCCGCACAACCGACTCAATCTGCTGCACCGTGATGGCTTCTTTGGCCTCTGTACGCTCTTACCCCCCTGGTTCTCAGTAGGGAATGAGGGACGGAGGGCTCTCATATGCCCTGGCCCTATCCCACGCCCTGATTCCCTACAAGATTCAGCCAGTTACACTGAGACGAGCTTTAGAGTTGAGTGAAATAAATTGAATATAATGTGTTAAATGTGTTATTTAAATAAATTAAATATAATAAGTTGTTTCAAAATATCAAAATAATAAGTAAACCAGTAACACAAAAGCCCGAACCTCATGAATGCAAACCCTGATCTCATCCTCCTGAGGTCCTGAAGATCTAAACCCAACACAAACTCGAACAGCAGGACCTGGAACTTGAGTGCTTCGCATGTAGCCTTTCTGAACCTGGAACACTAGCAAACATTTTCATTCTAGCTGTTTCTTAGAAAGTGCCCAAAAGCCTCGGGCCGGAGGTGTATAGGTTGTCAGAACAGGCACCCTCCTTTTCTTGCCTCAAATGGGTACCCCCCCTAGGAAACCGGGGTCCGCAAGCGGACGGTTTGCCAGGACCAGAGGCAGTTGAAGCCCCTCCCAGCAGCCCCCCCCCCCCCCCCCCCCCCCCCCCCCCCCCCCCCTCCCCACCTCCCCCTACCCCCTGCCCGGCCCCTACCCTCCCCCCCTCCCCCTGCCTCTCGAGGCCCAACTGGTGTGAGCACGGCCCAACATGCATTACACGAACCGAAGAGTCTCAGCTTGAACCTAAACCCTAAACCTTAAACCTTGCCCGAAGCACTCAACCCTCAAACCTTCAACAAACCCCCCCCCTCCCCCCTCCCCCCCCCCCCCATTCCCCCCCCACCCCCCCTACCCCCCCCTGAGGGGCCTGGCTCAACCCTACGATCAATCCAAGCCGAACCGCCTCTTGGACCCTAAACCCAAAAAACCCCAAACCCCAAAGCGTGAACCTTGAGCCCTAAGCCCTTAATCCTAAACTAACCCTCAACCCTAAACCCCAAACCATAAACCCGGAACCCTAAACCCTAAACCCAACCCTTATTGCTTGGGGTCCAGCGACTTGGGCGCTGCGGAATCACCATGCTTACGCGGATGCGCTGGGCCGGGCCGAGGCGGGTCGCGTAGCGTTAAAATTAAAAACTATTTCCAAGTACCCCTAAGGAAGTGTTCTGGGGCTACACCGCCGTGGCTGCAAAATTTGGGTTTAGGGGTGACAGCCAAAGACTCGAAGTTTTGACAATGAACTCAGAAAACATGCGAGTTGGCCTTGGTTTAGGGCTTAAATTTTAGGGTTTAAGCAGTCGAGGCGCTGTTTGAAGCTAGTCTTGTTGGGTGCAGTGCTGCCCTTCATAGTTTCCGTCGACCGAGGGTCTGCAAGCGCGAGCTTGTAGGTTGGGATGTTCCCCCTTCTACTAAACGTCCTCAATAGGGATTATAATCGGGGGTACTATAACTAACCCTACTAAGGACAGTTAGTATAAGGGGGAACATCAGGGCTTAAGTTGATGGTGTGGAGCCATATGCCAGCACAGCCGCCGTCGCGATGACAACTGCGCGCGGTGAACTGGGCGTGGAGTGTAGGTTTTCAAGCCTACGCTTTCCCATCTCCGCCCCATGGCTTTTCGTCAAGGAGAAGGTGTTTAGGGTTTGGGGTTTACGGTTTAGGGTATCCTTGATAACCTTAATCGTCAGTGAGGCGACGTGCCTGACTGCTAAGCCCTACCTGATGCTCCAGCAAAACAGCCCTAGCTTCCTGTTGGGAGGCTTGTCTCCAAGCATACAAAACAAGACGTGCTTGTGGGGTCGACAACATACCAATATAGGCAGGATTATAAAGTTTCGACCTACCAGGGAGGACTGCAAACGTCAACATGTTGCGGAGGGATGGAGTCAACAGCGTAATATGCAGTTTACGCGGCCTGCGAAAAGACGAACCCACCCGAACAATACCATGCCATGATGTCTGCACCGGAAGGGGCGAGTGATCTTCTAAAATTCTCTGTGCTTTCGACTTTGGGTCGCGGGTCGAACTTTCGTCCCTTCCTAAACCCCTGAACCCTAAACCGTAAAGACTTTGCTTCTGTGGAGCGTTTGGACATGAGAGTCGACCTCAACAGCCGCAAACGCGTAACCTTTAACTCGAATTCTTTACCCCAGGTCACGGCCCATGTTCTCTTTAGATGGGATCCTTTTCTTCACATGGGTACCTTTAGGCAAAGGGTCCACCACAGCACAAAGTGGCCCAAAGAGAATTGCAATTTTGAGAGCTGCTCGTGAGGCTTGACGCTTACAGCTTCAAGGCTTCGTGGTTTGGGCGTTCAAGGTTTTCTCCCCAAGCCCGAATCCTACGACCCAGCAGGGCCTGTTGAGGACGTGCACGTCCACAGGAAAGGCTCGGACAAAGCTGGCCTCATCATGTGGGCACTTCTCTAAATCATGGCCCCTTTTGGGGCTACTATTGCAAGGCAGCCCCTAATAATTAGGGCACCCCAAAAAGGACCGTCAGTTTAAGAACTGCCCACCTGCAGACGGAGTGTGCGGTGGGCGGACGCAGGCATTTCAAGGATGGTATAAGTGCATGAACTGAGTGAATAACCGACCGTGAAGACCAAAGACTCAATGAATAACCTCGCGAGTCAGCCGAAGTGTCAGAGAGTGAGTGATTGAATAACGTACGAAGAGAGCGCATAATGATTGACTTACAAGGAGTGAATATAATGAGTGACGCGTGAAGTCAATTATAATGCGTGAACAAGTGAAGAGAGTTATAGTTCGTGCGTATTATAATGAAGTGAGTGTACGAACGAAGCATGAATACGCACGAAATATAAGGAACGGCCCAACTTTGAGACTAGCCCATGAATGCAAGGGTCACGAGTGAAGAGAACTATCCTATCTCTCGGGCACTTCTACCTCTTGGACACAACCCTCAATCTCTGGTACCTTTTCACTTTCTCCAATTAAAAGGAAGAACGAAGTGATAATAATAGTGGGGGCCATAATAAATAATAGAGTTAAAGGCCCCCTATAATATTATAACTGTGAAGAGAATATATTATAAGGCTTTGTAAAGAATTAAATGATGCACGAAAGCCGAAATAATATAATGAACGCAGCATTTACACGATTTTAATGCGTACACGTGACAGTAAATTTAATATGAAACGAATGAATGAGTGAACGCATTAAAATATAGTAAATTCGCTTCTCTTCCCTTAATATTGTATGCGTGTGTCATTCACTCCGTTCATTCACTTGTCCATAGAATTATAGTACATTTAATATACTATTTTCCCCAGCATTTAATAGTAAATTGTAAGGGCTAGAAAAATAGTAATATTTTATGAGGCCCTTTTGTACGTATTATTTGGTATTTTGGAAATCTAAACATTTAGAAGTTACATCAGATTCATTTTGTTTTCTTATTAATAGTTCTTGGTTATTATTCTTTGCTCTTATTATAATTCTATTTATCTTTACAGGATTTAATATTTATTGTTGGACTGAAGCCCCCGGTCTCGTCGACACAGGAATAAGCGCTCAGGGTGAAGGGCGCTAAAGGCTCTTAGGGTTCGGGATTCACCTCTGCCCCGAAATGTGCCGAGTACTTTCTGCGGGTTTGGTCGGCCGCTTCCCAAAAAACATAGCTGAAGGGTATAAGTACCTCTTTGAGGCACAGCTCTTGGCAAGGTCTGGTATCTGCCAGGGCGCCAGGTAGTCGCTCGGCTCTGCCACTACCGCAGCAGCCGCTGTGCCACCCGGTTGGAGCGCGGCCAAGATACCACCAATGAGCCACAGAAGGGCCTCCCAGAAAGGGGGTTTATCGGGTTTATAAAGTTTGTAGGGTTTATGGAGTTTGTAGGGTTTATAAGGTTTACAGGGTTTACAGAGTGCATGTAAAGGGTTTACACACAGGGTTTTGGTGCTTAGGGAGCCAAGGGGGAATTCAATGAAGGAACACCATGAACCCTGAGCCACCAAACAAAAACTCACGGCCGTGAACAGCATGTGAATAGCATGTGGTCATGTTGGAAGAGAGGCATATAAGCCTACATGCATGTCAGAACTGCAGGGACCACCCTAAACCCGCAACCCTAAACCCTAAACCCTAAACCGCCCAAAGTGGCACCTCAACGCAGCCAAGGGCATCCCAGCGGAATGCAGACAACTGCATGACGAAGCCACTGGCGACCTGTTTTCAGGGTTGCCGCTCTGGAACTGACTTGAATGACGTACATAACATATGGACATTTAACTATGGGTTTAGGGTTAGGGTTTAAGGTTATCTGGCCAGAAAATTACATGTTGCCTCGTACTTCGGCAACTTCATTCACAACACCCAGTTGTTTGGGCGCTGTAGAGTTCAGGACGTCGGAGGCGAATATTCAGAATATCATAATGCTCATAATACTCATAATGCTCATCATGCTGATAATACTCATAATGCTCATAATGCCCACATTGCTCATAATGCTCATAATACTCATAATACTCATCATACTCATAATGCTCATCATGCTCATGTCACAATGCTCATAATGCACACATTCATAATGATGATATTCTGGATAATGTTAACCATGCTAATGGTATTTGTAAAAGTCGTACCAATACTTTCCAAGTTTAGGAATATACATCATATTGAGATTATTAAGCCTCTTTTTGACAATACTACTAATACATGCTCATATGAATGTCATTCAGATCATTTGTACTGTTCAGAGTACTCATACTGTCAATGATGTTTTCTTGATGTCGGCCCGTGATTTTCGGGTAGGTTTTGCATGAAGGGCATTTTTCCAGAGAACCCACAATCAGGCAGTCGAGGTTTTTGACCTTTCAGGCTTTAGGGTTGCTTCCGTTCCCCCAAAACCCAAAACCCTAAACCCTAAGCCCTAAGAGTGAGTGACCAGCTCGCCCGCATCCAGGATCAAGTTGTGCAGGCCGGCTGCTCGGGGGAGCCTGGGAATTAGCAACCCAGGAGTGGGGGCGTCAGGAGGCTGTAAGGGGGTAAAAAGGGGGGCATAGGAACCCTAGAAACTCAGCGGATTTCAGGCATGAGGGATGCAAATTTTGGCTCGACTGTAAATGTCGCCTGCGCGCTTGAGCGCGGACAGGGCTTTCTGTTCCCGGCTCGCACTTTGATCTGGAGTTTGGTGCTTGGGGTAAGGGCGCGGCGGATTCCAGGATACCGGCTTTGGTTTTCAAGGCCCCCAAATCCTTAGCGAACCTGCCTCTGCACAGCATGGTGATTCTAGAGTCATGGTTGCTATACTATCGAAGGCCCAAAGCCCTTTGCTGTACTGTCGGAAGAAATACGTACACAAACTATCCCCTCCAAATCCTTACGCAGCTTCAAATTTTGGAGCAGCAATCTCCTAAACCCTAAACCCTGCTTTTTCGGGGTTTCAGGGATTGCCGTTTCCTTTCTGCAGTCGTCAGAAGGGTTCAAGAAGGCTGAATGGCTGGAAGCTCATGTGCCCTTTAGGTTGCCGGTCTTGGGCCCTTTGTTCCGGGGTCGCACAGCCATCCATCTCTTAGTTGCTGAGTTCATAAGGCTCAAAAAAAGTGTACACTTTCAGTTCTATAGGGGATGATAGTATCCCAAAAAGTGCAAAGTGTACTCACTCAGCTACTCAGATCTTAGGGTTTCGGGTGTAGGGCTTTAAGTTTAAGGCATTGCTAGGTGGTTTTAGGATGCAGGTTTCGGGCACGCCACTAACATGACCCAACTTCGCGATGCACGGCTCCAGCGTCTGCAGGCCCTGCACCCTAAACCCTAAACTCTAAACCCTACCCCCTAAACCCGAAACTTCCAGGTCTTTGGGATTCGCGCCTCCTCCACTTTCCACGCGCCAGCGCTAGGAAGCTGCTTGGTGGAGCACGGCCTTGATTTAGGGGTTTCGGGTTTAGGGTTTAGGGTGGGCTTAAGGTTTAGGGTTTAGGGTTTAAGGTTTAGGGTCTAGGGTTTAAGGTTTAGGGTTCGGGGTTTCGGGACACGAGCTATGCATTCCTTCGGCGTGCTGGTGTACTGTGAGTGACCGCCAGATACCTCTGTCCCACATGAGACAAACAAGCCCCCCTAAACCCTAAGCCCTAGACCCTACATTCTACAACCCCGTATAGGGTTCCGGAAGCCCAAAGGCAAAGGTTGCAATCGAAACCTGGTCAGAGCCCATCCCTACTAGGCTATATACATAACGGAACCAGATACCCCTCTAAGAGAAATATGCCCCTTTAGGTACATGTCCCTTTTTAAAGGGTCTACATTGTCACTTCTCAAAGTATACCATCCTGTCGTGCATGCAAACTGACTTGAAGCCCAAAACCCTATCATCCCGAGCAGCGCAGCGTCCGAAGTGGGGGCGCACATGCAAAGCCAACCTTACGAAACGGCGCCCTGCCTAGAGTAGCCCTGTATCTTAAACAAAGTATCATACCCAACAACTAAAGTACGTGCCCCTTGCCTAGGATTCTTAAGGTTCTTGTAGGTAAACCTCCATGAACATGGTCCTTTCGCGGAGAGGCGGATGAGCACTGTATCCAGGTCAGGCGGCCACAAGGAAGGGGCCTCAGGTGCAACCATCCAGCAGGGGAGCAAGGGAGTTGTGCGCAACATAGGGGTCGGAAATAATTATTAATAGTATTCATGCAGAGTCCCTGTATAGTGAGACGATAATAACTTATAACCCCCAAGCCCTGGCGCAACTATTGAGGCCCCTATACTGCAGGCTGCCCCTAACCCTGCCTTTGCGTGTCTGAGGGGAAGCTGGCGTCTAAATACCCGGAATAAGGGATACTACTGGGCATCCGAGCATGTGCGGGTGCCGAACGCCTATGAACTTAGGCAACCCGACTCTTTCTTCGAGTCTGAACTACCTGCTGTGCCCTGCAGCCCTTTGAAGCCTGACCTGGCCGATGGAACCTCTACCGGCAGGACCTCACGACCTTCCTCAACCCGAAGCCCTAACCCCCCTAAACTTCCTCAAGCCTCCCTATGCCCTACATCGTTCACCCTGAGCGACCCATAGGCAGTGATATTTTCTTTGCTCCATCAGGCTAGGCATGGGCGGGCAATGACACACACACATATACATATATATATATATACACAATCTTAACAGCAAACGGCAGGGAGACTGTATATAGCCACAAACGAAACAATAGCAACAGCAGCTGCAAGAATGTTCCCGGCAGCTAAAGCGCATGTATGACCCATCACCCTCCATCCTCGTCCAGGAGTTGCCGCACCGCTGGGCAGCGTGCACAGACATCATCCTGGAGGCACAGGATAAGAAAGTTCCTACGGCAGTTCTTTATGGTCCGGGGTCACTGTTGCAAAATGGAGCATCTAGGGTACCCCAAAAGGGATCGTATCTGAACCTGCCGCCGGAATGACAAGACGTCTCCTGAGCCTCCACACACCGCAGCTGTGGCACTCCAGGACAAACCCTCGAGTGACGGTAATATGCCTACATGCCCAAATCCTCAACCTACCGACATAGCAACCCAAGCCCTGGAAGCCCGATCTAGAGAGAAACACTTAATTGTGGGTTTATGTCCCGATTCTTCTTGAGGTACAAGCTTACTGTAGCTAAGCCCTACTCTCGGATGCCCTATTCTGATTGAGTCCAGGGTCCCGCCGACGCAGCGCGCAGGCGTAGCGAACCGGCCATCTTTGCTGTCGCGTCCTTTGTGCATCGGGCTTTTGCGGGGCTGGCCTTTTAGGATCGCTTTTGGGTTCAGGGTGCTACGGGCTTATGTGGGGTCTGAGGGACTCAAGCCTCCCGTATGTATATGTAATATATACGTATGTATCTACGTATGACTTAACCTTTGTAGCCGGTTGCAGAATCCTCCCTCTAAAATGTTGAGTGAACCATTAAAGTTGTGCATAGTTGGTTCTATGACAGCACGTAGTAGGACTACTTTATATTGTGTGTATGGAGGGGATCAACACTAGTGCGCGTGAATGGCTGTGTCATCAGTAGTTATCTTCCGGGCCTTGACAAGACGCTTTGGACGACTTTCCCATCTCCAGTGGTTGGCTTGCCGTCTTCTCATAATATGCGATCCGGTCCTTTAGGCAGTAGCTTGGTTGTCTTCCAGCTTTCTGGGCTTGATATGTCACTGAAGGCTTGAAGGAGGTCTCCGCTTCGTGAGACATCCGTGCTTGGGACTTTTCGTGTCAAAGTTAGATATTCCGTATGTCACGCCGCACTTTTCTGTGGGACATCCATCATGCCTTCCTGACAGAGGTGTGAAGTTACGAGGCAACCGTCTGCGCAGCCAATGGCTGAACAAGTTCTAGAGACAACCGCGTGCATGCGCCGGCGTCTGCGTGTCGGTGCCTCACTGTGTGTCTGTGTGCTTTCAGGATCTCTTGGCTTTCAGGATCTTTCGGTGCTGCAAACGGAGAGGAGCCGGCTGCAAGGGCAGTAATCACCCCATGAAGGACCACTCCTACTTCTGCTGAACTAAAGTCAAAGAGCTGCACACATCTGCACTGAATTGGATTGTGTCGAGCAACCGGGGAACCCGGTTTGCTACAGGAACTTCAATCTTTTGGCGTCGAATGGTGTCGAAGCAATCAGCGGCACCCAAAACCCTTAACCTGACGCACTTAATGCGGGCCAAGCGTCTGCTGCGTGGTCGACGCGAATGCGACGGCCATAGGGGTCGGGAACTACTAACATAGGGGCCTTAAAAATTTGAACAGGGCTTTGGGTGTCATTTTAGTATAACTATACAGGGCCTCTAAGGGAATACTATTCGAAAGTATTCCGACCCCTAGATTACATGCTAGATGCTCAACTCTATACTTACAGACGAAAAACGAGCTGAGGGCGAGGCTTCTGGGCTAGTGAGATGTGAGCGCTAAGCCGCGAGCTCCGCAGTCCTTCCCTAAACCCTAAACCCTAAACCCTAAACACCCTAAACACCCTAAACCCTAAACCCTAAACCCTTAGCAGTTTGATGCAAGGGGTCGGGGTGGTAGCTCCATACCCTAAACCCCTAAATCCTGAACCCTAATTCAACCCTTCGCTCCTGTGACTCAAGAGGCCCTTAAGCCTGGACTCTGAAGGTTTTCTCATGCACACTTAGGGTTTAGGGCCTTGAAGGGTTTCGAGCCTTGAAGGGTTTAGGGCCTCTGTAGGGTTTAGGGCCTCATGCGCAGCTCATGAGCTGTGGGTACCTCGACCTGCAGATAGAGTGATTCTGATTTTCAGCCTACCGAATCTTCGTGTACTGACCATGAAGTTAGGCCCCCCGCAAGAAAAGGAACTAACGATTGAGGACTCAGGTAGGGCATATCCACCGTAGCTAAGTGCAAGCTAAACGCATTCAAGACCAGGCTTCATCTTACTCTATGTACCGAGCTGCAGCTTGCACCTGCAATTTCTGACCCTGAAGGAAGAACCTGGCCCGAACGTGGAACCCTTTGACAGAATAGACTGGGGGCTGCCATGTAATCACACATTTACACCCAAGCATTTACACCCAAGCAAGTCGGCGAATTGGAGTGTAGACAGGACCAACTCCGGCTTGTGAGTGGGGACAACCCAAAAGTTTGAAACAAAATAGTGGAGCACCGGTGCGTCTTTGCACCTTCCGTTCGAAAGCCGCCACCATAAAACCTTCAAAAGTCTTATTCCTGGCGTTAGAGCCTTGGGAAAGCTTTGGGTATCTTTGGGTGGGGTTTAGGGGAATTCCGGCCCGGACTGATTTTGAGCTCTTGCGGCGGCAAGCCAAGAGTGGCACACTGGATCCAGGGCTTACGGGTTTAGGGTTTAGGGTGCAAAGGTTTGGGGTTCTACTCCAACACGAGGCTGTAGGCAACTTCCTGCACCACGAAGACGGTCAACCCTCAACCCTGAGCCTTAAACCCTGAACCCTACGTGGCAGCAGCTTCAGAGTCAGTGCCTGGCGCAGCAGGCGACTCGCGGGTCAACCAAGACTCAGGCTAATTTTATAAAAAGTTAGACACGACGTCATGTTGCATCTCGTAGTACAATGTATACAGGGAGGATGTTCTGCTATCAGCCGTTTCATACTTGCAGCACCTTTATCCCACAGCACGCGCTCTGACGTCCCTGAACTTCGGCTGACTGGGATGTGAAGCTTAGGGGGTTTAGGGTTTAGGGAATAGGCGGGTCTCGCACAGAAACACACAAGGCTTCTGCTGGTCTTTCGTGGGAAGGTTGCGGCTGCCATTGCCACCCACAGGGGCTTGCATTTTGGCTTCTGTAAGGATGGCACAACGAAGAGTCACCCAACTTGAGGGTGCGCGCTTGTGTGTCGGAAGGGCTTCGAGAGCTTTTTTTAGGGTTTAGGGTTTAGGGAGGGTTCAGGGTGTTAAGATGCTTTGATGACACTCCAAGGTTCAACTTTCAATGCACTTTTGAAGGGTTGAGGCCCTAAGGCTTCCAACCAGAGGACTTGAGGCTGGGCAACGTTAGTACAGGTTGTGTGACCCTCTAAACCCAAAGCATCCCAAAGCCATTAGACAGTACAGGCTACAGACCCCAAATCTTGAACACCTTCTCGTTAAGTCCTCATCCCGCAGCGCTTTATGCAACCCGAGTTCAAAATGACGGGGACTGGTTTCAGGGCTCTGGCTTCGGGCTTAGGATGTAGGGCTTGGGGTAGGCCCCAGACTCTAAACCCCAAACAGCCTTAAACCCTGCAAAGCCCGCCAAGGTTTGAACTAAACCCTCCAACCCTAAACCCCAAACCCTAAACCCTAAATCCTAAACTTGGCCAGAGAGGCCGTAAGCCCAGGTCCAGCCCAGGTCTGCGAGGCCTTAGAACCCCAAGGGAGGGTTCAGGCTTTCAGGGTTAAGCTGCTAGGGTTTAGGGTTTAGGGTTTTTAGGGTTTAGGTCTAGGGTTTAGGGTGCTAGGGTTTAGTTCTGGGTCTTGATCCTGGGCCCTAGGTCCAAACTTCCCCAAACCCTGAACTCTGACTCAGAACAAACCCCCAGCTTTGCCGAAGCCTTGGATGGCCCCCGCGACCGGAGCAAGTGCTGGTGCTTCTTGGGGCTCAGGGTTGAGGCTTCCAGGCTTCGGTACTTGTCCTTCGCACTGCTCATGAAACGGCCAGTGAATTCAAAGAATGCGCAGCATGTCTGGTACTTGAAGCACGGTGCTACTCTTCCGGCGGCTCCTCCCATGGCAATCCATCTTGATGTTCTGTGTTCTTCTGCCCACCGGCACAGGCTCTTCATCCCAGGGAGGCACCGTTCGGAGCTCGCACGTCTCAGATGGTTCATGCTTCCGGCGGATCAACTGCTCCGCATCCAACACGTTGCGAACGCAAACCAAGTCCTCCCCAGCCCGCCGAAACACTCTCCGAAACACTCCCAGACCCTCCCAAACCCTCTTGGAAAGCACCCTAAACCCTTCCTAAGCCCCACTCAAAAAAGTTTCCCCTCAACAAATGCTTTCGTGAATGGAGAGTTCTTGTCGTGAGTACCAAAAGCCTTGTCGTGTCTAGGGCACCCTCTCGTAAAAGAACTTTGGAGCCTCATCTCCGACCCTGCTGGGTGAATCCCAAAACCTCAAGCCACTAAGCGTGAACCCTGTCGACCTCCCACGAATCCCCCGAAACCCAGGAGACTGAACCCTCACCTCTCCCCCGAAACCCTAAAACCCTCCTGGGGGCGTGGCACTTTGGTGCCTCCCATTGCGCGTGCCCAGAGAACCTCAAGAAAAGGCATACGTGTTTGGTCAGAATGCTGGGCTGCCCTCCCAAAACCGAAGCCATTAATTGATTGCTGCATCGTAAGCTGGAATCTGTGCCGGGGGAAGGGGCTTTGCGAGTTTCATGGGTCCTAAGCCCTAAACCCTAAACCCTAAGCTCTGGGTTTGGGCTTCTCGTGTTGTGGTGCAGCAAGGCAGCCGATGAACGAAGAACCAGGCCACATGCTCCTGACCGACATCTTCATGGCTTTGCGGGCGCGGGGCGTTGCTTGAGGGACCCCAAGTAGACTGGGCTGGTGCCAACAGGAAGCCCTGGTAGCCCAGGAACCTGCGATTATTGGGGCACCCTTTTTTGGGTTGGTTACTGTATCAGGGTACGTACCTTGAACCAAAAAAAAGGGGAAAAGGGTATCACTGGGCTAGCAAGAAGCAAAGAGAGCCTGCATGTGCAAGGCTCGAATACTGGCAGCTAGTTCAACATAGACCGGCTCGAAAGCTGAAAGTCCGTTCTTTGTGTCCCGAACTCTTTTCAGTCCTAACCCAAGCTCTGAGCCCTCTGAAGCCACATGCATCCTAACCTCGTACCAAAAACCCAAACCCGAAGCCCCTGAAACACCAGGAACCCTTGAGCCCCCCTCAGCCTGAATCAGGAACCTCCGAGGTCCGAGGCCCGGTTTAGGGTTTAGGGTTTAGGGTTTAGGGTTTAGGAAGCCCCAATCGCTTCCCTGAAGGCCTCGGACCAGTGCACGTCCCAACAGCCGGCAGAGCCTGGGACGGGCACAGGTCGACAGGTATGGGGGTTTAGGGTTTAGGGGGCTTCTTAGTTGCTGAGTTCATAAGGCCCCAAAAAGTGCACACTTTCGGTTCTATAGGGGATTATAGTATCCCAAAAAATGTAAACTTTAAGGGCTGTCCAAGACTTTCAAGGGCTTCAGGAGGGCTTCGGGGCCTTTTTGTTTGAGGGCTTCGGGTTTGCGGACTGGGGTGTGTGGGCTTTACCGGCTTTACGTCTTGGGATGTTGGGCGCTGATCCGCAAAGGCATAGTACGACTGAGAGCCGCTGCCGGTGCGATGATACGTGACATCCTACTGCACAGCGCAGGGCGAGCCAAGTAACCATCACAATAAAGGTGCGTTTTTGGCGTTGCACTATTTTTCCGCAAGAGCTCAGAACCCTGAAAGGCCAAACGTGCGGTTTCCAGAAACAATGACTGGTTGTCATGCGATGCCTTGTGAAAGCAACCCTAAACCCTAAACCCTAGACCCTAAACCCTAAACCCTAAACCCTGAACCCATGACCTTACTTCTCATTTACCTTGTGGCCAAGCTCGTTGAGCATCAAAGCCTACGAAATATGTGCAGCTGGAGGCACGCGGTATTTCCCACTGGGAAGCCTCTGTCTCCTGGCACCCTAAACCCCTAAACCCTCAGGGTTTAGGGTTTAGGGTTTAGGGTTCAACCCTAATTCCTGAGCTTTGTGTCGCCAGGGTCAGGAACTGAGGAACGTCGAGAGCTGTTACTACCCTCAACAAAGGATGTCTACCTTCGTTGAGGAGCTTTTTGGTTGAGAGCCTGGGGTTGTTAACCTGGTACCTTGTGTACCTTTTTGACGTACAAGGTTGTTCTAGGTAGGAGCTTTCGATCAGACACCGGTGCGGCTGGAGCGAATTTCACGGAGGCGGGAGCCAGGAAAAGGAAGTACCGCGCAAAGGTCTGTATTCCCAAAGCCCCCGATACTTTAAACTTCTAAATCGTAGTGTCTGAACCCTAAAACCCTAAGCCCGAACCACTGACTACTGGGTATTGGGGGTGCTTGGCATTGTAGTTCTATTATTGGTACTTATTGAGGCTCCTGACTTAAGCACCCCCCCCAAGTACAGTCATAACCAGGCATGCTCTCGTTGCCCTACAGAGAACCCCAGTCCTAACTACCCATGAACCTTCAAGCAGGAAGCTTATAGGGTTTCAAAAAA